TGAGTCCAAGTACTTCCCACACAAATGTCTGTGATCAACCAGGATGCAGTACTTCCCGTATTGGATGTGATGATCTTCAGGTAGAGCTTTCCACTTCTCATATTGAGAAGACATTGCATTGTGACAAAGCTGTGCAAGTTAATATTAAACCGAACTATAGAAGTAAAGGTGTCAATGTAAATATACCTACTAAAAAACAAAATGTAGCACTGTCACCATTTCCTTTTGTAACACAAAATATAGGAACTTCACCAGTAAAACTATCTGTTTTAAAAAGAAAATTGTTTACTGAAAACACAGCGGATACTATTTCTATATCATCTTATTTTTCTACGAGCTCTACTGATTATGAACCAAGTTATCAATCTGAGTCGAGCGAAGTTCTAAGTGATTCAGAGAAGGAGAAACAGTTTAAATATGAAATGTGTAGTATCATGCTAACTGCTATTGAAAAAGAGCCAAAAATGTTGTTAGGATTACCTAAACAATCATATCATTTAATAAAACTTTTAAGTGATAATATTCCGCTTCCTAGTAAACACATATTAATAACCCTCAAGAAAATTAAATTAAATGAGTCCTTTAGCATCTTGGCACTACAATTTGGATGTTCACAAAGTACTATTTGTAGAATATTTTCTAGAAGTATTTCTCTTATAGCAGCAAAACTTAAGGACTTGATTGTGTGGCCAGCATCATCAGATATTTACAATAATTTACCCATATCTTTTAGGCGTAGGTATGGGAATGTTGTTTCCATTATTGATTGCCTAGAAATTCAGATTGAAAAACCATCAAATGCCGTTCATCAATCACTTACTTGGTCACAGTATAAAAAATGTAACACCTTAAAGTATTTAATTTCATGTACACCTGATGGCTTGATCAATTTTATCTCTGATGGATATGGTGGTAGGGCTACTGATGTTATGATAGTACAAGATAGTAGTTACTTACAGGCTTTACCTCCTAATAAAGCAGTGATGGCTGACAGAGGTTTTAAAGACTTATCATGTTTGCTAGAAGCTAAAAGATGTACCCTTATACGACCACCTTCTGTATCAAAGTCTACCCCCAGTACTAAAAATGAAGTGAAACTATCAAAACGTATAGCAGCATTAAGAATACATGTTGAACGGGTAATAAATAGGTTAAGAGAGTTTCATATGTTACTGCCTCATGCTTGTGTAGACTATAATTTAATTCCTATCATAGATGATGTAATAATAGTAGCTTGTGGATTGGTAAATATGCAGGATGTTTTAATAAAAAAATGAATATAATATATTTACATTTGTTTTATTTTCATAGCATAAAAAAACAGATTAACAGAATTAGACAGAAATCAAATGCAGTACCCCTACAATAAACAAAAAAAATCTATCTAGTCATACATATTTAGTTTAGGAAAGATGGCTTTATTCCAAAAAATGTCGCATTTTTCTAACAAATTTTCACACAGTTGCTGGTCGTAGTTGACTTCTAAGATTGATATTTTTTTTGTTTTTTCAAAATCTTTATCAGCAACACAAAACAGTGCCTTTGCTTTATTAGAAAAATGCATCTGCAGTTGCACTTGTGCCATATATTTGGCAGTCACTTTATTTCCTGAACTGACATATCGTCCCATTGCTTTTTCTGATGTTGGGCATTTTATTTCTATACTATACACACTATTTTCACCATCTGGAGAAGCACCCATAATAGGATGTGTACTATTTAACTTTAATCCACATTTACTTATTTTTATTTTACAAATTTTTTCTACTTCCTTTAAAACCTGACTTTCCAACAATCTACCCCTTTCCATAGCCTCTGTGTCCCTCAATTTACTTGCTCCCAAAATGGTCTCCGTTAACGTTCCATCAAGAGTATTGCAATGTGCAGCATCATAAGCTTTTGAAGCTGTGATCCTTCCATACCTCAACTCATGCCACAATGGGCAGTCATTTTGTTCCAAAGTAGCTATTGCAGCTCCTTTGCATGCATCTGCAGTCATTATAAGTTTGCAATATTCTATAAAATCAAGAGGGTTTGTAGCTTTGCTTGTAGACAGAAGATGGTGTATTGACAATTTTTCCACAGTGCTTGGCGCTCTATAAAACTTCATCAAATGATTCTTTGTATCACCAACCAAAGTGCAATTATTTTTTACTACTGTGAGAAAGCTTTCAGTATTCAAAGATGTTGGCACAAGCTCATGTTTAGGTGTTTTATACATTTCTTTGGCTTTTATAAACTTCTTACTAGTACCAATTGATGATAATTTAGATTTTTTCCAATAACACTCAATGCTTGTTGTTGATGGATCTTCACTACGCCGATGTAGCCATGCTAAAAAAGCTATAGCATGCTTACATCCACCTAAAACAAAAGAAATGAGAAAACAAAAAAGTTATAGAAAAAATCAAGTTCCTAAGTGCAGGTCACTGAACCTAAACAAGTAAAAAATAATTACCTAAATGTGCAGCACAATCTTCACATTGAACAGAGAGAATAGTTTCTTCTGTTTCATTGCAAGTGCAAATAACAGCATAACATTTTTGTCGCACATTATGTTCAGGTGTAATCCGAGCCTTAACAACACATATGTCGCCATCTCGTTTTACTTGGACATATCCAACTGCTGAATCACCATAAGATTCTCGTGTAGACCTGAAATAGACAAGTACTTATAAACACTCAAACAAAACAGTCCACGTAAAGCAGGGTATCAATTTATAAACATTAAATCATTATATATTTATCTCAGATACACACAAAGTCAAAGTTATTATACTAGGGTGAACTTCAATAATAAAAAATTTATTTATAGACGTAAAATAAGAGTTTCAGAGTAATTTTAATGACAACTGGATATGTATAGGTTATGTTTTGGTGAACCTAATATATGTAAACTGCTGTGTGCATTTATGAATAAAAATCTATATTATGGTCTAAAATGTATTATGAAACATAATAATTACCTTGCAGCTTTCACTCCTCTGATCTCTGCGCTCGTAAAATCGGGATTTGATGCAAAATATGCTGTCATCATGAAAGCATCTATTTTCGGTAGATTGTCCGATTGTGCTTTGACAAAACCAGCTTCAGTCATCGTCCTAGATTCACTACAAATCTTAACTAAACTTCACTACAATCAGCACAAGAATACAGGTTTAAATTATTTATTTTTTTCACAAAAACTTGTAAAACAGTATGAGTTTCGACGCTGATGAATACAATGTCGTGTCAGATGACGTCACATTTCGTTCGACCAATGGTGGCGCGTTTTGGAAGTTTGAATTTCGCTCCCTTATTTTGCACTTTTTGAATATTTTTTTAGGGGTTTAAATAATAAGTAAATAAAAAAAAATCCTTTTCATTATAATATTACGATAATAAGTATTCGAGAAAAAAATATTTTAGGCCATTTCAAATTTTATGCATATTCCCTATTGCACGAGTAGCTTATTGATTGTTACATAGTTGTTTTATAGATTTGTTTATACAGGATGCTGTACTTTACATTAAGTGATACACAAACAAAAATATAAAAGTAAAAAAAAATAAGCCGTCCTTCTTTTGTTAAAATTACACAATAAAAATTTACTATCTTGTATGTTTTAACAATGTTATTACTATTTATGAAGAAGATACCTATATTGAGATTTTTAGTCTTATTTGAATTTCAATTTTAAGCTGGAATAAAATGTTTTTTTTTTATTGCAAATTTCACATAACTTTTTTTTTTTAATACAAAAGAGATTTAACTTAACTTACATTGAAAACATTATTTTGTAATGGAGACTGTGTGGTTTTTTATCTATGTATTATACTAATATTATAAATGCGAAAGTAACACTGTTTATCTGTCTTTTCTTCACGCCTAAACTGTTGAACCGATTTATGTGAAATTTGGTACAGACATAGTTTGGAACTCGAGAAAGGACATAGGAAAGTTATTCTGCAGGAAGTCACTATTCAACGCGAATGGAGTCGCGGGCAAAAGCTAGAAAATACTGTTTTACTAATACTATATAGTACATTTATCTTTTATGCATTTTTAGTTAAATCAGTTTTATTTTTCTTTGTACTTAATTAAAGAGGAATTTCTTGATTCTAATTATAAATGAAAATTATTGGAAACAACTAACTATAGCTTTGTAAATAGCACTTAAGTTAATACATAACAAAACTACAAAGTAAATCGCTTTAAATATTTAATTCTGGTCTTAAAAGACAGTCGTTTAAAAATGCTCCTTACTGTATAAAAAACAAATTTGTTTTTGTACTGTTCTTATGTAAGTAGTATAAATGTACATATTTACTTGAGATAAAACGGAGTATTTAATTGTTTGCTTATTATCTCATTATGTATTATAGTGAACAATATGTATGTGTTGTACATAAGCAAATCTAGACTGTAGAGATTTCTAGATTTGTTATGTATTGAAAAGGATTATTATATTACTAAACATAGCTCTGACGTGCGCACTTCACAATCTCAAACTTATAAAGGACCAGTCAGATTCGTTTGTAATTTTTTATCCTTATAAATAAGTGTTATTAGTGGTCATATGTTGCCATTAAACCAGCATATAAGCACAAAATCTACCACGGCCTCGGCCCAGAGCAGAAAAACGAACGGGCTAGTTTTTAGTCCATAAAAGTATTATATTCCCTCTCTACGAGTATTTTATACCCAGGGAGGAATTATTTATTGATTTTTTTCCTCAAAAACAAGTAGCTAGCGGTTAGGTATATGGTATCATGATCAAAATATCAAATCATTTTTATCAATAGAGACAAATATGTACCTACCTTCATAGTGTTATCTACTAATTTTAAATTGTAATGTAATGTATGCGGGCCTCACAACTTAAAAAATATGTGTACACCTTACACCCAGACTCGGAACAACAATCTGTGTGTCAAGATCAAAATGAACATCTAACTATAACATTATTTATTTATTTAACCTGACTGACCTCTAATGACATTTTTTTTCTCTTTTACAGGTTGATGGTGTACAGGAAACGTAAAGATTACATTCGAGTGTCTAGCGGTGAAGATTACAAGCTTCTCTCCCGAAAACCCTACACGGAACTGAGAAGCCTCAACGGGGCATCGAACCCACGTCAACGATGAACACATATCTACCTCTAACTACTCGACCGGTGGAACGTGAGTGATGACTGTTATCTGACTTCTAACCGAAGTTATAAGATAACTATAGGCCGTATTTTTGTATAAATTAAACAAAACATATTTCTATGATACGCTAGATTCTTGACATGAAGAAAGTAACGTCTTACTCGAGCGAATTGACTGAGAAAAGCTCTACTACTTTCAAGTTACAGCGGGACGCATGATTAGTAGACTGATTCTCAGTTAATACAACTGAATAAGTCGTTATTTTTAATTTAGTAAGTCTCACAAAAGTTACTATTCAAAAACAGAAAAAAAGATGTTTTTAATAACCTCCTGTATACATTCTTTTAGGGTGACAATTGCCGTTACGACAGGCTATTTTGTGGTAACTTAATTCAGTCTTCAGAATATTCTAAGTTTCTAAGTAAGAAAAAACTCAGTTATATAGGATGTCCAAGTTTATAAACAAGTAAATTAAATTAAATATATTTTTTCTTACATCTAGCGTGTCAGATTCAGGAAATAAAACAAATGAAAATCTTGCCGTTTTAATATCAAAATAACAAAACAACTATTTTCCTGTAAACGGATTATATTTAGCTCAATGTTAAGATAAAATGGATTATTATTAATGTAATTGTCACTATTTTTCTAGTATCAATTTGAATTAATCGATTTCATGTTGTTTAAACATAGAAATAAAATCACCATTTAATTTATTAGAACCAAAAAGACAACCAGCAAAAAGTTCACATACATTCTCTAAAAGATTTTTTTTTAGTAACATAGGTATCGAATATGTTATCTGTGTGTGTCTATTATCTGCTCAAAAGCTAAATGTTAACCCATACAAAAATGTAAAACATTATAACTTTGAAAAAAAAAACAAAAAGGCGTTTGTATAATACCAGTTTTACAGTGCTGTGAATTTTTGGCCGAACTGCGGTTTTCGAGCGTGGCGTTAACGACAAAAACTTGACAAAATATTTGACTAATAACACGTCATCTTCACGCTAGGAAACCGCAGTCCAGCCTAAACTTGTAAATAAATAGCTTACAAAATACTATTGCTTGTAATAATAGTTTTAGTTTAGGATTTAAACTTTAGTAAAGTGAAACAATGTCGATAAAATATGCAGATTAATTCAGTCGTTTGATTTAATTAAAATCATTGACTCCTGCAATTAAGATTCAATGTATACTTTCCCATGTAAGAAAACAATGATTCAATCGTTTATTTGTTTGCACAAATTATTTATTTAATTTCATGTATTATCCTATTCGGAAGCTCAATTTTTTTTTCATATAAAGCAATAAAAGTATACTTTTGTCTTTTTAATTACTTTCTGAAATCGCATCTCTATTACATTGAACTTTTATTAATATCCTAATTTTTATGGGGTAATTAATCTACAATACTCTCTACTAGTTACAACGAAATAACCTACAATTTATAGCTTTAATAAAAATTGGTCCTTTTGCTGCACAAAGGACCCGATTTGAAGCTACAACTAACGCCATCTAGTACAATGTTATTGAACGATTTGTTACAGCACCATCAATCTACATCAGACTATTGTGTTGTTAGCAAACGGTTTAATATAGTGTTAGTAGTCTATTATAGATGGAATTGCTTGAATTACAAAAATGTCACCAAAATAAAAAATAAAAAATTGACTTGTATTTAAAACCTTCTTTGGAAGTTATTTAAAAATGAACATAGTTTATTCGACACGTCAAATCTTATGATTGATACACACAATCAGAATTGTAACAGTTTTTAATTAACCCCATAAAGACTAAGGATAAATTGTATGTAATAATTTATTTTATCCCTGAACAAAGTCGATAGTCAATATTTTATAACTATAGGTATTAAATGAGTATTATTAGTTATATTAGTTTAGCCTTAGTTTGTAAGTAGACAATTTTAATTTCCCAACTGAATGTACATTTTGCACGGTTTTGTACATGTCTCTATGCATTTATATTAAAAATAGGATGCGATTTCAGAATGGAAAATATTATTTCTTTAAAAAGACATTGCGACGTTAATATGATGTGTATACGAAATTATTTTCTTTTCTTTTCACTCAGATAATCAATCAACCAATCCTTTATATAGTTTTCTATAATACATTTTCATTATATTAATTCTAGTATATTGGTTACGATTTCTTAAATTATAATAAGAAGAAATCGTATCCAATGTTGCCAATAATTTACATTTTAAACAATATATAAAATCAATTATATTAATTTTACAAAAAATGAGCTTCATCGGTGCTGGTCACCATATTTTAAGTAATATTCATTTAATATTAAAATTATAACAATCATGACATAAGAATACATTTTATAATAATTTTATGTCAATTTTTATGTAAAATGTAGTCAATATAATTATTGTGTTATATTTTTAAATCATTTAATTTAATTTTTAGATTTGTATTTGTGATTTGTTAGATTATTTTTAGGTTTATTTATTATATTTATGTAATCTCAATGTGTAATATAATTTCCTATATTATTCTATATCTTAAACGGCAGTTTGAAGACCAAATAAGTTATAAGCTTCCATAAAAAATCATTGCAATTTGGCTTATTCTTGTTCATAAAACGATATTATTTTGTATAATATTCTGATAAATTTACGTAAAATATTATACAAAAAAACTTAGAAAGATAATTGGTGACTTTGCTTAATAATACCTTTTTACTTTTGCGAATTCGAGCATATAAACTGCATGTGATACTATCGTTTTTTTTTTGTATATAAAATCAAATAAATGACATTCAGTAGGCGACTATATTGTTCCTAGGCGATTTTATTAGTTTTTATTTTAGTTGTTGGTTCGTTGCGTTACTGTACTCTGTAGGTACCCAAACTGCATGGGTCGTGATGTCATCGTGAATTAGTTGTTAGAACGAATTTGACAAATAAATAAGATTTATTAATTATTTGGTCTTTCATTTATTTTGGTCCTTGTGTCCTCCTACTTACGAAAAACTTCTTACTTTTTTCAATAGATGTCACTATATTACATTTAAAGGAAAATTAAAATTAATTGAAATGTTTTGTATTATCTCTTAAAAATTTATAATATTTTAATTAACGTAGGTATTTACATATGTTACACATTTACCTAAGCTAAAACAATGAGACAATCATTCAAGGAATCATCTGAACAAGCTCTTTATCATCATTTCTATTTCGAATTTCATCTTCTCTAAACTTACCATGATTAAAAAAGTATTCGATTTCTTGTAATGTCCTATCCTTAGTTTCAGGCAACATAAAGTACAAAAATACTAGCGAAATCGCCATGACTATCCCTAATATCGTAAAAGTACCATAAACTTTAAAAGTCTCTAACAAAAAAGGTGTAGTTTTAAGAGTAACTATACTAGTTACTGATATTAATATACCAGCTATTGTGGTTCCTGCTGCCCTATGTTCTAGAGGAAATATCTCTCCCACTAAAGCTAAAGGTATTGGTGCACAAGCGAAATTAACAATAGCAAAGTACAAAGCGAACAATGACAATGGTACTCTCGGAGCATTAGGTATCAGGTCCTTGGAAGCTAAATACAAATAACCACACGCGGCCTTAAGGACCACAACAGCAGCAAATCCAGTCGTAAATAACAACGTTCTTCTTTTCATGATCTTGATCAAATATGAGGAAAAAGTAGCACTAACAGCTACTATGATATCCAAAGCGAAAGTATAGTAAATAGATCCAGTATTGCCTGATATTTCCGAAATTATCTGCACTGCATAAGCTGGGAATATATGTCTGCCGGTAGTCTCTAATAAAATCGCAGCAAACAAATAATTCAGGACTGGCATTACAAAGTCTCTCTTGCCAAACTTCTGACAAAAGTGTACCAAGCTCTGGTAAATACTCAATTCTTCAATTTGCTGACGTTCTTGTTGAGCGTCAATCATTTCAGTCAGTTCTTTTTCGGATTGCTCAGTCTTTCCTCGGAGTCTGTAAAAGACTATTCTACTTTTATCAAATCTTTTATTAGAAGCCAACCAGGAAGGACTCTCTGGCCAAGTGCAAACCATAGCAAAAACTATTAAATAGGGGATTAAAGTTATAGCAGCGACTGTCCTCCAGTGAAAGTAATATCCTAGGATGTGGACCAAAGTACTGCCGACATAAAGAGCTGCGGTCTTCAGATTTAAGAACATCCCTCGATGAACAGGACTTGAATATTCGCCAATAACTATGGCGCCTAATATAGTTGTAGATCCAGCAGTGATGCCTTGCAGAACTCTTGCAGCGAGCAAGCAGGCGACGTTTGTGGAGAAGTACATAACGATGAGACCCAAAGCTCCTGGAATTATGTCCAGAATGAAGCCCATTTTTCTTCCGAATCTGTCCATGTAGTATGATGATGAAAGGAACCCTGGTATCCAGGCTAGACTGAAGGATGCAGCTGGAAATAAGAGAAGTGTCGAATAAAGTTTACAATTAGGGAAAAATCTGTGGATGTTTTTTTTTTTTTTTTTTTTTTTTTTGTGAGGGGAAAATCATCAAATGACTTCTCCCGCCCAGGGCCGGGCAGGAGGGAGTGTCAGACTCTTACTGACTAAAAACCCCCCTGTTCCTTCTCCTGCTCTGTGCCGAGGTCGCGGTACCTCATTGCGCTTACCCCGCAACCCCGGCTGAACATCAGCCCTTTAGGGCCCCGTCTGTGGTGGTCTATTGGCTCTTTGAGGCGCGCGCGGAACGCTACGCGCCGTACGCTCGGGCCTGGTTCTGGTCGGGCGGCGAGCTGCCCTTACTCGCCGACCGCAGGCCCGTACTTACGGTGGCCGGAGATCGTCCCTCGATCCCCGACGCCCGTAGTGTCGCCAGTTGCGGCTGCTGGGGCGTGAGGAGGAGGATTGCTCCCTCACGCGGGCCGCCTCTCTCTTTGCGAGCATGACTGCTTCACAAAAGGAGGAGACGGCGTCCCAGTTCCTCTCACTCCGCACCATGGCCTCGACTAAGGCCGGGCGCGAGAGGTCGCCGCCGCCGATCACTTCCCTGAGGATACGGCGGTGCTCAGCCCAGGCAGGGCATACCGCTACCGTATGCTCCACCGTAAAAATCTGTGGATGTGGACTACAAAAAAAAAAAAAAAAAAAAAAAAACCATACCTTAAATCTTAAGACTTGGTTATTTAGATTGTATTTCTTTTAGAGAGGCAATCAACTTCTGTTTAAAACATCATATTGATTTTACGAACGCGAAGAGCGTACCTAGACATGGCCATCTCTGGAAAATATCTTATATCTTTTTTTTTGTCAGGGAAAATCATCAAATGACTTCTCCCGCCCAGGATAAGGAGAGACACTGTCAGAGTCTTACTGACTAAAAACCCCCCCGTTCCTTCTCCTGCTCTGGGCCAAGGTCGCGGTGCGCTTAACCCGCAACCCTGGCAAATATCTTATATCTGGATTGGTTCTTAGTCCTGTGTCCGGTACCTGCTGGAGACAGGTGATGATGATGATGATGATGGTGAAAATAGAATAGTAGTCATAGTAGTTTACCTATCCAAGAAGATTGTTCTAATGTGGCCTTGATGGGCGAGTCTGGATCCTTGAGAGCCGGTAGCAGGCACGTGGTGAATCCCAAGAACGTCCCCACTTCCATCATTGTAAGGAGAACTCCTGACACGATCCATGTCTGGAGAAAGATGAGGTTTTTTTGCTTAGAACAGCAGCTAGTAATTAGTAATTAGATGTCTAATCAAGGTACCGATTGACTGTTACATTGTAAAGTCGGATTCAATTTTGGTTATGATGATGCTCATGCTTGAGGGTGCAGGAAGGAAACCTGGCAAGTACCAATGTGACTTTTCCGAGTTATATGTAAGTACTTTCTATGATTATTTAGAATCCTACGGTGTAGGAAAACATCGTGAGGAAACCTGGACTTACTGAATTTCAAATAATAAGTATGAAATTGCCAATCCGCCTTAAGCATGCGTGGTGATTAATGCTAAAACTTTCTTCGTGTGAGAAGATGGCACTAAACAGTGGGTATTTATAGGCTGATAGTGTTAGTGATTTGTGTCAGTTAAAGACAAATCTGCAATGTTTTTAAACCCCTTCTTACATATTGATTCGAGTACAGGTTTCGTGCTCAACCATGACAAAAAAAAAAAACATTGTGAATATACGAAAAGAGATATACGAGTTGATCCGACAGAGAACTAAAGTTATCGACATAGCCCAAAGGATTAGCAAACTGAAGTGGCAGTGGGCACGTCACATCTATCGAAGAACCGATGACCGCTGGGGTAAACGTTTTTTAGAGTGGAGACCATGTCTAGGCATACGTAGTGTAGGGCGCCCTCCAGCTAGGTGGACTGACGACATCCCCAGGGTGGCTAGCAGTGGTTGGATGAGAAGAGCTGAACATCGAGCTCAGTGGCGTGCAATTGGGGAGGCCTATGTCCAGCAGTGGACGACAGCAGGCTGATGATGATGATGATGATGATACGAAAAGAAAAAAACAAGGACTTAATCCAACTCACCTGTTTTAAAAACGCGTTATCCATTGCAACGTTAACACAACCTACTCGTATTTATGAAACAAATGAATCAGCTTTTCTCTTTAGTGGTCAAGAGGGAACTACGGAGCACTCTGGTACAGGATTATTTTTATAATTCATAGATAACCTTATCAATCGTATTTAGGATTTCAGATATATCTAAGCTTACGATAAAAACTGGATATTACTAGTATTTGTTTTGTCAAGTAAGTAATATTATAGGATCATTGTGTAATCAGTTAATTGACAATGATTTTACGAAAATACAAAAAAAATGTGACTGATTACTTAGTACCTAGGTACTTGGCAACTATCGCGACACAGCTGGGTATTGTTTATAGAAAGTTTCCATTATTTGATTTCGATATGTTATCTAGGAATATTTTTTTACATTTTTCATGGAATAGGAGGCAAACGAGCATACGGGTCACCGGCAATGGCAAGTAATCGGCGTCACCCATGGACACCCGTAGTACCAGAGAAGTCACAGGTGCGTTGCCGGACTTTTAAGAAGTAGTATGCTCGATTCCTGAAGGTTTGAAGGTTATAGTTACTTTGTGACTAGTTATAAATACAAATCACATCGCAGAAGTCAAATCATTTATTTCAATTTGACTTTTATAGGCACATTTAAGCGTCAAACAAAATTAAAAAAAAATTATGCAAAAAGTGTAATTCCGACGGTCAGTACTCTAAGCTAAGTGAAGCTAATCTTACCATCTTACAAATATTATAAATGCGAAAGTTACGGCGTTTGGATGTTCGTTACTCGATCACGCCAAAACAGCTGGACGGATATGGATGAAATTTGGCACAGGCATAGGAAACACTCCGGAATAGGATACAGACTGCTTTTTATCAACATATCACGTGGGCAACGCCGTGGGCGGAAGCTAGTTTAATTATATTTCAAAACAAAACACACTTTTAGGAAAACTAATGTTATCATTAATGTTTTTTATTTGTTGACACATAATGTTAAATTGTCATCTCTTTTGTATCGTAGATGGAAAACAAAAGCAGGAAATTTGCAATTCGATTGAAAAATAGGAAATTTCGTTCAATATTTTGGTTGCCACTATTCTTAGTAATTGTTATTAAATCCAATGCAAAAGTAAAACTGATGTCTTTCTCAATACATGCAACAAAAACCAAGTCTTTACAATTACTATTATATTAAATAATCAAATACTCTCATGTAGATACAATGCTAGAGTAAAACTGATGTCTTTCTCAATATGACTGATGCAACAAAAACCAAGTCTTTACAATTACTATTATATTAAATAATCAAATACTCTCATGTAGATACAATGCTAGAGTAAAACTGATGTCTTTCTCAATATGACTGATGCAACAAAAACCAAGTCTTTACAATTACTATTATATTAAATAATCAAATACTCTACAATAAAATACTATACTACTATTTTATCGTTGTATCTATAGCAACAGTTGATTATTTATAACGATCAGGGGTGTGCTATTTTCATACAAGATTAGCTAAAAAAAGAAAAAGATAAATTTATTCCGTCAACTGGCTATAAATAAAAGATTAAATTAATCACTTATTTTCGTATAAATTTAGATGTTTATTATGGATATCAAATTTGGCAAATTATTAAGGTTCCGTATTATTGATGTGATGCTTTTGTCTGTGTAGGTAGATAATTGAAAAATCAATAAATGTATTAGAAGTTCTTACTATAAAACAATATCGACCTAGTCGTGGTAGCCCAGAAGTTAAGACACATGCCTCTTATGCACCAGAATGCGAATTCTGTTTTGTTTTCCCTTATTATTTTTTTGTTTTTTTTTTTTAAAAAAAAAACGTTGCTCTACACTAGGATTTTCTCCTGTGTCGTGGGTGTGTTTACAAACATACAAATTCACATACACATCACACCCAGACCCGGAACAACAATTTGTGGATCACACAAAGAATTGTTCCGTGCGGGAATCTAACCCGCGACACGTTGCACGGCAGCCAGTTGCCCAGCCACCGCACCAACCGTGTCAAAGTCAAAGTTCTAAACCTAGCAAGTACCATCTAATGTGACTTTTGCCGAGTCATTATGTACTTTCTACGATTACTTAGACAATACTGATGTTTGGTGAAGGAAGACGTCGTGTGGAAGCCTGGACTTATCAATTTCTAATTACCTATACGTTTGTAATCGCCAATCCCGTTTGAGCACACATAGGTACCTAGTGATTAATGATCCAACCTTCATGTGGGAAGAGGCCTTTGCTCAGCAATGGGCAATTACCTATAGGCTGATGTTATGATGTGAACATCCCATGTTAGTGTTAAGTTTCCTAATCGTTAAAAAATACAAGTTTAATTACAAACTTTCGGTTCGGTGGTGGTGGTTTTTTATCACTGTGGAGGAGTTGCACCACACGTAGGTACAAGTGGTTGCAGGGTAAGCGCAATGAGGCACCGCGACCTCGGCCCAGAGCAGGAGAAGGAACAGGGGGGTTTTAGTCAGTAAGAGTCTGACACTTCCTCCCGCCCGGCCCTGGGCGGGAGAAGTCATTTGTCAGGACAAATAATAATAATTAACAAATATAAATATTTAATGTTAGAAGGAACCTTAGCAATTTGAAAACGTACTTAGATAGCGACAAAATTCATCTAAATTGTTGTACCTAGGTAGGTGACGTGAATAAATAACTTATCTTTATAGCGGATAACGTTTCCGAACGTCTCCTTAGCCCTGGTCGTAAGCGGTCCAATAGGGGCAAGCCGCCCGACCGCTATTCGCCAGCGCGATAGTATTTTAAAATACGCGCCAAGTGGCGTTATGTTACTGGCCGCTGATTGGCCGACACGGTATTAGAAGAGTTATGGCGGACTTTACAGTTTTGTGCGTGTGTCTCTTGTAATTTTTAGATAGTTTTATTAAAGTTTATGCCGCGTAACAGGACTTTTCACTGTAACCGACCCACCCCGACTACATCTTTTATTTTGGAATATTTTTACAGATACATAATTATATCAAATGAGATAATAGGTACCTATGTTATGAGTATTTTGGATAAGAACCTACATAGAAATAATTGCTGATGTAATTGTTGGGTAATGTTTGTAGGATTAAACTGGATTAAACCTATTGTAAAGTGAATGTGAATAAATACCAAAATGTTCCAAGTACTATATAATTTTACACCGACACACTGTATTGTATGTTTGTGAAACTGTTTTTATTATTAAGTAAAGTAAATGTACAACCATATTTTTACTCAGAAGTACTAGCCGCCAATGAATCCCAACCAGCACCAGAGTCGGTCTTTGTGAATTAGGGATTTGGGGGAAATAAGAATGAGAGAGGGGGGTATTGCGCGTCCGTTAATCTCACTGAAATGGCAAACAAAACGCAAGTTCGTTGTCTGCCTTTGTGAATTAGAGATTTGGGGTGATTTAAAAAGGGAGAGAGGTAAGGATTTGACCTATGGTTAATTTACTCATACAGCGAAATAACGAAAGTGTTTGCCTGTTTTCTATGAGGTGGTAAGATAATCCAAACTTAATATTATAAATGCGAAAGTAACTCTGTATGTTTGTCTGTCTTTTCTTCACGCCTAAACTACTGAACCGATGTCTGTGAAATTTGGTACAGACATAGTTTGGAACTCGAGAAAGGACATAGGACTAGTTCTTATACCATAAATCTGCAGGAAGTCACTATTCCATACGAACGGAGTCGCGGGCAAAAGCTAGTATATTATTATATCTATATTGTCAAGTCTTACACAGCCCTACTACTATAATGGCATCAATAAAGCTATTGTTTTACATACAAACTCAACCGTATTGCAGTTTAATTACATTTACTTTAATTTATTAACGCTTGTACATTCTCATACACGACTAATATTTGTGTTAGGTCGGTATTATCTTCGATCACGTGGGCTTTTTTAGATATGAAAAGTTAAATGTTTATAAGTACCTACGCAACGGATTTTGATGCAGTTTTTTTTCAGGTAGAGTGGAACATTCACTTAATAGGAGAGAAATTTAAGTAGTATCAGCATTTCATCCGTGCAAAGCCGGGGCGGATAGCTAGTAAGTATTTAAGTGTGGGAGAGCCAAGCTTCGGCACGAATGGGTCGGCTCGACCGGAGTGATACCACGGCCTCGCAAAAAACCGGCGTGAAACAACCCACAGTGTTGTGGTTCGCCGTGTGAGTGAGGTTACCGGAGGCCCAATTCCTTCCCTTCACCTATCCCTTCCCGATCCTTATATTCGCAACCCCTATCCCCAAAAGGCCGGCAACGCACTTGTAACTCCTTTAGTGTTGCGGCGCCGATTGCTTACCATCAGGTAATCCGTCTGTTCGTTTGCCGAATTATACCAAAAAAAAAGTATTCTTATAATTTGAAAAGAAGGGAATGGAACAGACACATCACTTGATTATAAAAAACCTATGCTACCTGTAATCACTTTAAATATACTGAAACTCAAATGCCATTCATCATTATCTTCAACAAAATTTCTAAAAGACATGATTCAGCAGAAAATCCCATCAAGAAATAACCTTCGAGGTGACAAAGAGACTTTTCCTGGTTCGTTTAATTGGTCAGACTTGACGAGTGGCACTTGACCTACTGTCTTTATGCTCACATTGCACAAAGAACTTGTGTGTTTTTAGTGTTTTTTTTTTTTGTGAGGGGAAAATCATCAAACGACTTCTCCCGCCCAGGGTCGGGCGGGAGGGAGTGTCAGACTCTTACTGACTAAAACCCCCCTGTTCCTGCTCCTCGACCGACCGACCGTGGTCCTCGCAATGACGACACTCGGGCGTTTCCTCCCGCTGGATCCGAAACAGGAACCTACCGAAGCTGCCGTGCCCGGTAAGCACCTGCGTCAGGAGGAAGGTGAGGACGCCGTGGCGTCTCTCAAGCCACTCCTCAAAGAGGGGTCTTACCGCTGCTATAATAGCGCGCCCGGCCCTCGGTCGGTGTGTTTTTAGTGTGGGAGGGCCACGCTTCGGCACTAAAT